CCCCAAAACCCCAAAACCCCAAAACCCCAAAACCCCAAATTCCCAACTAATATTGAAACTAAGGCATTAATAATATTTATCTAAATAAATTCCTTTAAGCCTGCTCTCCTCACCTGAATTCAAGATGATCTTTGAAGCTGCTTCCATAATAGTGTTCTTCATGACCTCAGTGGGTATAGTCAAGAGGTTCTATACCCCTCCGAGGAAGAAGGAAGATGATAGACTTGTTGAGCTAGATAAAGAAGAGATGATGTACCAGTACCATGACTGAGTCTCTGTGGTCTATTCTTGAGTTCTTGTACTCCTGTATTCAACAAATTACTTATTTTATGGAATAGACTTTGAAAGAAAAGGAACAGAATTAGAGTACAATATTATACTCTTTGGTACAATCTGGTATATCTTTGATTGAGTTCTTAAACATCATGATGAAGTTTATAGTATTTTTGTCTGGATACATCACACTTTTATGATAGCATCAATGCTTGTATGACTCCAGATTGAGCGATCGTACTGTTTTGGAGCAACTGTGCTGTTCCTAAATGATTGTATCTATATTCTGCTTGTGACATACAAAACTTTTGAGAGGATTAACTTGCCATTCGATCATTACAAGTATAAGATTTGCTTAATTTCGCTCACAATAGCACTTGTTGCAAGCAGGATATTCGGAAATTTCTGGTTAATATCCAGACTTGTGATGACGTCAGACCCAAGCATCTTGCTGATCATGGCTAATTTTCCTGTGGTATGCTTCGGGATAATGATATGTATCCAGCTGGCATGCAAATTATTTATGTTAATACCATATTGGTGCTCAAATCGCACGATACTCAGAGGAAAGGCATTTTGGAGGAATGTCAAATCCGCTTACTTAAAATACAAGAGTTGGGAAACCTTGTACAAGTTTGTGGATATCAGTGCCTATTTCTTGTCAGCATTAGCTCCAATAGGCATAGTCCTCTATTCCAATTACTCTGAAGAGTTATTTTAATTTTTGAAAATTTGTTTCATAAAAATTTTGGGTGGCTTATTTGGATGAGAATAGGTAAGGTGGGGAGATTTAGAAATTTAACTTCCGAAATTAAACGATAATGAGTTAGATTAAGAGAAAGTGAGAGTTATAGAGTTTTAAGGCTATGTTTTGCAGTGAACGATGATTGAAGAAATATGGGGTTTCAGATTAGATTCGGATCTTCTTTGGGATACAGCTTTTACCATAGTATTAAAACTAACGTAACTATAATTGAAGATATTTAAAATATGAGACATCACAAATTTTGAAATTTCATGTTGATTATTTCACAAATTCAATACTATTCATTTGATAAGGGGTTTTGGGGTTTTGGGGTTTTGGGGTTTTGGGG